ATCTAATTTCTAAACCGCTTCCGGAAACTTGCATCAGCCGCGCTAGAGCGTGTATCCACAATATACATAGCCTTTTTGTTTAACAGGAATAGATATCATTTAACTTCCTCAGAATTTATCGTCGGGGCCATCGCATTATCCTCCTTAGCATTTTGCAATGTACAATTACTGGGTATTAGATTTCTAATCGACGTTGTAATTTTTTAATTGTATTCGTAAATATAAAATGACATTAGTAACATTATTTCGTAATATTTAAGTTTGAGAGTGAGTGAGAGAGTGTGATTGTCTGATTGTTTGTCTCATTACATTTTTTCTAAACAACTTTCCTTCTAATGGAACTTTTGGTTTTTCGGTTAAATATAACGAAACAGTAACATATTTTTTTAAATAAGTAGTATTAAGCTACATGAAAAATCCCATAATCGCATAAATATTATAAATGCAAAAGTTTCGATGGATTAATATTTGTTACTCAATCACGCCAGAACGGATGAACGGATCTGGATAAAATATGGCACAAAGAGAGATAGATAGTGTGGAATAGCACAAAGCTTACTTTTTATCCCGGAAAAATTTACGGTTCCCGTGGGATAGATTTGTTTTCCACTATACACTAGTGTTTAAATAATTAAATTTGCATGTTTGTACATAATTACAACAATACAGTATGGGCTTCAACTGTCTATGCCTTTAATCATAGCATATAACACAGTATCGGTCTCTATTACTACACAAACCAATACCAAGTTGTTCAATTTTATCTCTATTTATTATAAAAATATAAAAACGAAAAAGTAACAAGTGTAAAAAAATAAAAGAGTTCTACCAAAAAATATTAAAACTTTGTTAAAGCAAACGTCTAATTTAAAAATACTAAAGGAAATATTTACTCAATGAAGTCATATTATCTTACTTCGAAGCGCTAAAACCTGTACCAAAAGATCCTCATATGATTGACTGGAGGATTAAAACGCAACGAGAGATAAGGTGCCTATTTTGATAGAATTCTAAAATTCGAGTGTAGTTTTTTTTATGGTATTGCGATACCCGATTGGTGCCAATGTTCATGATTCGAGATGTGATATATATATATATATATATATATATATATATATATATATATATATATATATATATAATAGAATTGTAAATCTTATTGAAATAGACATTATTATCGAAGGCCGAATCTATAGTTTTTAGAATTTTTGTCTGTCTGTCTGTTACCGCATCACAGAAAAACCACTTGAGGGATTTTGATGAAATTTGGTATGGTGATAGCTGGTTATTCGGGTCAAAATATAGGATGCTTTTTACCGCGGGAAAATATCTCAATTTCTGAGAAAAAATACAAAAACTGCATTGTAAGAGTACTAATATTATGTAAAACCTAAGAATTTGCTTTTGGGTCATCTGAACGCGGGCGGAGCCGCGGGCAATGCTAGTTAATTATAATTTTTGAGTACCACTACGAGTACCTGCGAGTTTAGTTAATTTTTACGACCATATCCCTTGCGGTTTTATTACCTTAAAAAACTTTTTTTCTCTCCGTATGAAGAAAGGAATGTGCGGATAAAATCAGTCTTTTGCTCAGCGATTTTATATTGTATACATATTCAACCGACTTCATTACTTAAAGCAATGACAAAAATCCAATATTGACGAAGTTCGATTTTGGATGAAATAGCAAAATTGAATTTACACACTTCAAGAGGATAATCTAATTTTATCAGTACCTACGTTTTACATAAATTAGGTCGGGAAATATAAGAAAATAAAATACGACACGTTTGGCTCAGTTTGCAGTGCTACTTGCTGTGCTAGCGATCGCGGGTTCGAATCCCGCTGGGGGCATACATTTGTGTGATGAGCACCAATGTTTACTCCAGTCATGAGTGTTTATATTTTATAATATGTATGTATTTATAATTTATATATGTGTAGTGTATCAACTATCTGGTATCCATAACAAAAGCCTCGTAGCTTATCATGGGACCAGATGGTGCTGTGTGTTAATGTCCCAAAATATTTATATATTTAAATTTTTAAAAGTAGAGTCTTTTACTGAGAAATATGAGTAGAAGTAAAAACAACCTTTATCTAAATAAGTAATTTAAGTAGGTACAGTGTCTCATAGTATAAGTTGTAAAATATATTAAACGCCAAATAAATCCACAAAGGCTTTATAATTCGGACTGCTATTTCCATCAAAAACAGGGCGCAGTCCGGCCTTGCCGGTTATACGACGGTAATACTCTAATACCATAGTAATCTAGGGCATTCCGTTGTTACCGCCTTGACCACGGCTTAGCGATATTATCTATTGTTATGGATGTCGACTTTAGCTGAATAAGATTCAATTAAAAATCTTTAAGAAATGTTATGTCAAGGCCAAATAATTATATTGGAAAACGTAAGTCTCGAAATTGTTCAGTAATTTAGATATAACTAGCAACTCACCCTCGCTCCGCTCGGGTTCGTTCCTAGTTACGTTTTAATGTTTAGTATAGATTTGTCAGAGATGAGATATTTTCCCGCAGTAAAAAGTATCCTATTTGTTGACTCGGATAACCAGCTACCATCATACAAAATTTCATCAAAATCCCGCCAGTGATTTTTCCGTGATGCGGTAACAGACAGACAAAAATTCTAAAAACTATAGATTCGGCCTCTGTATCGATAATAATGTCTATTTCACAATAAGATTTCCCAAAAAATATTTTATGACAAGATTTGGCTTAGTTACAATTTTATTATATACATATAGATTAATGCAACATTGTACCTTGGATTAATTTGTGTCACAAAAGTCAGAAAATCATGTATTAAAGTGCTTGAAATATAATATTAGAAAGATTGGTTAAGTTCTATTATATATTCTAAGTTTGAGATTTGTTTCATTCAGTTTGTTATTACATAATGACAACAATCTTGTTTATAGAATTAATATTACAAGTATTTTATATGATACAGGTCATAAAATATGTTTGTAATGTATAAAGTTACCAGCCCTGATATATTCTTAAAGATGTAAACTTTAACACGTCCAGGTAAATTTCTAAGAAATTAATTAAAATTCTAAGAAATCTATTGTTAACTGACACGCTGGCGTATCCGCGGTCGTGTAGGGATTAACACTGGATTTAAAAGTCTGAAATTTTGTGTTGAAATTATTGTGTGAAGATATTTTATATGGAAGTGATGACCAAGATTTTATGAAAAATAATGGTTTGTTTAATTATTATAAAATAATGGTAATGTTTTTGTCTTTTTTGATAGTTAAATTCAAAAGAAATGTAACATATGTACTGAAAAGAAATGCATCTCCATCGGAATTTTTTTAAATAATGGATAATAATAACACATAATTAGTCATTATAATTACTTAAATATAATTTCTAGTATTACAGAAATATTACTTTAAAAGTAATTTTAACTAAAATACATTTAGAATGGTTCTGTTTAAGTAAGTAATCTATACTAATATTATAAAGAGGTAAAGTTTGTGAGTTTGTGATATTGTAGGGGGTAATCTCTGGATTTACTGAACTGATTTGGATGAAATTTGGTAAGACAGTTTGAGACCCTGGGAAGGACATAGGATACTTTTTATCCCGGAAATTATCCCATAAGGGAGTGAAAATGGGGATGAAAGTTTGTATTGGAGAGCAAGTTAGGGACGAACCCGAGCAAAGCTAGGGTGAGTATTGAGTATTGGGTGAGGGTGAGGTATTGATTATAATGTGTTTAGAACTTCATGATTATGATAGTTGGAAGATGTATGAGTTAAAGCAAAATAATATCCGAAATGACTAAATAAATCTCAATCTGACTTATTGTACTTATATGTTTTAATTTATTAACCAATAATCATCATATATTATTTCAAAGAAAATAAAAAATTTTGTCTTTGATAGGAAGTAAAATAGTATGAAGGATTATTATTTTCAATTGTTATTAAAATTTTTAAAAACTAATTCATTACCTATTTTGATAATTAATTTGGAGCGAACTTGTCTTAGCAAAGTAAAGTCAACATTAATAATTGCACATTTTCAAAACTGTGTATGATAGGTGTTTTCATAATTATGTGTGGTAACTACTAAAAACTATTAATTATTGGATTATATTTATTGGATTTATAAGTAGAGAAGTAATCTGTGCTCAACTGGCATGCTTTGAAACTACAATTGACAAGAGAATTGAATAATTTAATTTTAAATTATATTAATAATACTTATTTCACATGATAGTTGTAGATGATGTTCCTACTTACTTGTAAAAATGTGTCCCAAACAACAAGTTGCTAAAGTATATTTTTATTGATGATTTTTATGTTTTGAATCCATTAACAAGAAAACTGAATGGACTGCATTTCTTTATGGATGTAAGTAATACATATTTAATGGTTAACTAATAGGTTTTCTTTCCCTTGATTGATTTTGAATGCATTCCATCAACTATGAGACAAGAATTCAAATGATGATGCATTATTAGTGTGTTAAAATGTGTTTGTAACGCATTTTTTAATATAAATAATTTAGAGATTATTAATAAACTATGTACCTATCTGCAATAAACAAGGAACAAACAATATAAACAAAGTTACTCATATTGTATATACGATTTCTAAGACATTTGTAAGATTATGCTCAACAAAATGACGAATGCGAATACGCCGCTCACTTTTAAATTATCTCTATATAAATTAAACTTTCAGCGGGAAATAGAGCATAAAATTTAACAAACTTTACTCTCGATGATGAGACAAATTGGTGATATTTGCAGAACATATAGAGCATTATATAACCATTTTATTTTAGTATGCTCAAGTGTAGATACGAATGGAATCTTATCAGAATCTACGCAATCTGCTAAACCACCCGTTATCTCCTGGCTGCAACTAAAGACACATCACGCGTCTCGTATTCGTGGCACTACTAAAATACTCAATTTAAATCATTTATTTATAAACAACACATTCTAATTAAAAGGCTCACCTGTCTAGTTTATTCGTTGTACGAACTAGAAACTGTAATCCAATAATATAAATGATCACTGATCCGATCCTATTACTTTGAGGACACAATAAACATTCTTTAAGGAAATTCACGAAAAATGGAGTCACAATGCAATTCACAAACTGGCACAAATAGTTGAAAATTTATTTCGATTCACACTCAATCACGATTTACTAGCAACTTGATAATTTCAGCACAAAAATTCGGCAACTATCACTTGCCTCCATTCCAACTGACTGACGGCCATAACTGAGAATGTTGCCACTGGCGCGGGTCACGTTATTTCTGCACTCACGTGTCAGAGTTGCCAGTACTTGATTTTTTTTTACGGTAAATTATTTAAAAAAATGTGGCAGTAAAATGGGAGATTGACAAAACATAATTTGAACATGACTTTTTTAGTTTTGCTTTACCAGATCAAAAAGTAACTTGTATTAATAATAAATATTAGTAAACATAGCTAAAATTAAAGTAAGTCAAAATTTATGACACATATATTTGCTGTATAATATAAATTGATAAAATTGAGAAAAAATATAATTCTCCATATATTCTTACGCCATTCAACCGGAGCTATAATTTTAGAACCCTGAACTCAACAGCGAAATTTTTAGGTATTGATTACTATAGTCATTCCTTTAACTTCTTTGCAATAATATTAGAGATATTCTCTTCTTAGTTCTTAATACCCTGTGGCCCCTACTCTTGTTTAAATCTTCCTCCGGACAGTACTGTATACAGCAATTTTATTTTATAAAGATATATTTGTCCTGGTTTAATGAACACAAATCGATATGCTAGGTAATGTCATCCATCAAGAAATCTCTTTATATTAGCAGTATAATGAGCATTAACATTAAAAGCTATGAATTAAATAAAATGTTTTTTTGATGCGATACATCTATTAGCGCGCCTAGGCAAAACAGACTCGTATGGCGAGGTGGCAAAAGGTGGTGTGACTCTGTCATGCCATCATGCCTCTTCTACGCCACCACTCCAGACTCCCTTGTGCGCGCGCGGTTGTACTACACACGCTCCACTTTAAAAATACTTACATATTTTCTTTTCTATTAGAATATATATAATCTGTAATTATTATTATTAAAATAATAAATTGATTTTATTAACGAAACTCTTATTTTTTTTTAATTTTACTCCAAATTCGTTACAGGTTTTTATTAAGAATTCTAATATTAACATAGATGTTTCACATCTGCCGAGCGTTCCGTGACGGACTTTTTTTGTTATATAATGAAAGGTTAGTTGAAATACCTCTGTGTACAAAATTGAGAAGATATGAAAGCAATGAAAGACAAGCAAATAGAATATTAAATTTAATTTTAACAATTCCTTTAATAACTAAACAGATTGCAACAACCATTTTCTTATATATTGTAATGTGTAACACTTTAGTAGGCGTTTATTTCACATTTTTCAATGATAATAATATAAATAGTACTGAAAATCATTTTACTAGCTTTCAAAGGGTAAGTTAACATTGATCTCTATTTAGATACAAAAATACTATCACTGCCTTTTATGTAAAACCTAGCAAAATCATTATTAGTACAGACATTTGGCGGACACGACATTCAAGCTTATGTGTTTATAAATATTTATAAAAATAACTATTAAACATCTACACAAACCAAAATACAAATGACAAAATTTTTATCTAGCAATTTTAAATAATTTATTGGAGTGTTTAAAAAAAAAGTTAAATAGCACACATAGATCTTATAATGGAAAAATTAAAAAAATATGACAAAACATAGTACTTATTAAATGATAGAAAAAAAGTAAAACAACTATTTCATACAAAATCTATACCCCTTCAAAAGCAATACTAGCAACACTGTCAATTTGAAAGCTTATTAAATTTAAATATAAAAATTACATCACAATTTATATAATATTGATATATGGAATCGATATATGGAGATAAGGGCTTACACAGACGATATATAGATAAGAAATACATTTATCACTTTATGCTATACTACTGTCAATATTTAAAATGATTTAACTTCGTTTACCGATTTTATAATGTGAAAACCATACAAACTCCACCTATAAAATACTTAAGTAAAGCGACTTTTATCAATAAGAATCGATATGATAATTGTTAAATACATATATGTGAGATGATTGTAAGTTGTATGTAGCATTATTGCAATTTCCTAATTTTTAATATTGACAGATTCTATTGTTCAGACACGTTTAATAAATAAGAATTATTTACAACGTCGACATATTGTTATTTAGTTAAATGTCAATGAGAAAAACAAAGGAAACTAACATTACAACCGCTTCATAAGCCTGTAAGTTGCAACGAGAATTATATTTATAAATCCAAGTAAAATTTGATCTTATTTTTAAATTATTTTATATTTTAATTCGACAAATTACACGTAAGCGATATTGATAATGATACACAGGCACTATTTATATAGTTATAAAATTACAATTATATACACTATAAGTCGAATAGGTAAAATGTTGCCACTTTAGAAATTTTGATGAAAAAAATAAAGCTCACATTAAAAATTATAAAATGGGCAGTGAATATCAGTCAAGATCTAAAATATCTAATTTGGAACACGCTACAAAATTTTACATTAAACATCGTCATTCTAATCGTGGCGAATTATAACACATGCGATTTGAATGTTTAACGAGTGGCACTTGACATATCAAAATATTTAATAAAACACATCTAAAAACGTCCTAATATTAAACGGTATAGTGATTGAGACGATTTTATACTTTTTGGACTAATATATACATGCTTATTTGAATAGCCACAACAACTATATTATGTTGCAATGTTTCCATCAGCTTATATTTGCTACATTCATTTATATTAGCATATAGAATTCCTTATTAAATTTGAATTAGAGGATCCATTTATCGTTTCATAGTTGGTATTACAAAATTTGTTTACACAGCAATTTAGAATGTTCCAAATCGTGACGAATAAGTAAACAACCGAAATACATTTAGGTAACATTTACCAATATTTATAAACTTCCAATATTGCCAAGAAAACTAATTTAGTTGTAATATTTAGTAATAAACTAAAATTACAGGTTTCGCTTCAGCATTCGCGTATATTGAGTTATATTTGCGTATATAAAATAAAAGCTGTAATACTAAAATCTGCAAAGCCTGTTTATTTTGTAATTTGTAATTTTTTTGGGAAGTTTCAGATGAATATAATGGGAACACAGTAATTGAGAAGCTTTATATATATATATATATATATATATATATATATATATATATATCATTATGTTATATATTTAATATGTACATACTTGTAAAGAGTGTATTATGAATAAACGAATAATAAAAATTGAACTCTGCTTTGACTAATATATATTAAACTCATAAAATATCATTATATATACACCATTTGCTTTTCGTTTTCTTTTATGGAGCATGATTTTTTTATAATCTAAAGATATCGATACACTTTATTTTTAAGCCATAAATAATAAGAATTGAATATCATAACACTAACTTTAATTTCTACTACAAAGAAAAATAATGATGCCAGCTAATTACACTAATAGTAAATGCAATTTTAAGTACCAAAATTGTAATGGACGATAACTTTCATATTATTCTACAGATAATATTATTATAAAACTGTTAAAACAAGTATTTTTTTTCTTTTACAAAAATGGGAATGAATGATTTAAAAAACAACATTATAAATATACATAATATATTAGTAAAAACGCAATGTAAATAAATAATAGCACTTCTTATATTTTTAAGTTACACAATTCTAAAACCTGTTGTTTATTTTATTTAAATGTATCAAAACAGTTAAAAATGCTAATGTCATTGGGATCGCGTTTCTTTAAAACCTACACGAGATATTGTTTTTATGAATAAAACACTAAGCCTATTTTTATATTATGACTATAATATATTGACAACCGCTTCTAAATGTTTATTTTGGTTTATATATCTACGTATGAATTATATCAGTTTCTCAAATCCTTATATATGAATAATGGTCGATTCCCCATACAAACTTTCATCCCCGTTTTCACCCCCTTAAGGGATGAATTCCGAGATAAAAACTATCCTATGTTCTTCCCAGGGTCTCAATTATCTTCTTACCAAATTTCATCTGAATCGGTTCAGTAGATTCGGAGCCTATTCAGTACAAACAAACATACAAAAAACAAAAACTTTCCTCTTTATATTATTAGTATAGACAATATGAGTCATAGTTTAATGTACAATACACAAATCGTGTTCTCTACAGAAAACTGTAGTTGATTAAGTAAAGGTTCTTTTATAATACGTTTTTATTAGTTATCTATGTAATAGTGTTGTCAAATCTTGAAAGTCGATTATATCTTACTTTTAATCAATTCGATATCATCGAGCTTACTTGAACTGACTTCATGATGGAAAAATAGGGTACTGGAATATAATTGTCTTTATAACTCAGATAAATCTTCGTGTTTGGGCTCATTTAATTCGTTTTGACGCAACCCAATATTAATCTATCAAAAATTTATTTTTAATTTTTAAATCTACAATCCATTGTTTATGCTTAAAGTATTTTATCAATTTTTATGGTCACCATTATAGACAGGTAAACAAAACTGCTAAAGGAAATATTTAAACACATTATTTATCATGAGTTAAGATTTAACAAAAACGTTGACTAAATATGCAATAAATATTTATAACATTTCACACAAAATTAATTTTCATATGTACATATATATAGTGGCTTTTACTATAAAAAAATGATATATCATATAGTGAAAGACCAAAGTAAGAGTCCGCGTTCATTATAAGCAGAAAGATCTATCATTGTATCGACATCTGCAAAGAACAATATTGTAACTCAAGCTATTTAAAAATATTTATGTAAAAATAAAATATATACTCGATTATTATATAAACGTGAAAGATTCTTTGTTCATTGATTAAACTATAATTTTACAAACTATTTGATCTATTAATCTGAGATTTGGCAGGTACGCTGTTTAAAGGTAAGGAAGACGTAAGCTAAGAATGGATTTTACGTCAAGACCAAAAGGATCGCCCCGCAAGTTTTTATTTTGCTACAAATAAATCAACTAACCAATGTTAGTTTCTAAAATATAGAAAGTAGAAACTTTAAATAAATGAGAACACTAAAATCAAAAAGACTATAATACTGAGTTACAATGTTATTCCTTGCAAGTGTCGATATCTTCATTTATTATTCCAAGACTTCTCACATCAAACATTAAACACACGGATTAACGTCACAAATCGATCAAAAAAGTACTATATACACAATCCCATGCAAAAGTTCTCTTAAAACTGTCACCAATTGTGTTTAGGTAATTATTCTAGTTGAAATAAATATACAACAATGTAAATTCAACCTTAAATACAAGGCTTAGTTGTTTTCACAAAAAAAATTAAAAGCGCGCTCAAACGTTCAAATGAGCGCTTATTTGGTGAAGACATTTTTTGTCGCTGATTGAGTTTCTAGTACTTTTTTGATCGATGATTGAACAGCAATATTTAGATGATTATAAAAATTCTATATATCGACCTATTCTCATCTAAGTACAGTGTAGTTTTGGTGTTTTATATATACAATATACTATGACTTCTCACATCTAACTTGAAAAACCCGCTAATTAATGGTAATTTCAACTTGATATTCATACTTGCCGAGATTAAACACCAAAATCCAACATATCTCGACCCATATTAACTAAGGCATCTTACTAATAGTACCTATATGTTAAATTATGTAGTCCTATATATGTTGACCTTGACCTTGACATAGTCCAACTGTCCTGTTGAGTTGTCGTCCCACCAGAGTACGAGAGTGACAGCAATAAAAAGTGCACTCGTGTTTGTGCACCATAATATATCCTGTGATTGAGCTTGGGCAAAATGGTCTAGAGGATATTACTATTATATTTTGCTCTCTCTTTAGTATCCTGACCGATTTCGGCGGTCAATCTCATTGAGCCTACGGACTGCAAACACAACGTGCACTCTTTATTCCTTTCACTCTTCAATTCCGATGGGTCAAAATTTTGACACTCGCGGAGAAAGTTGACGCTTTCGGGCTGTATATATTCTGCCTCCACTGTACTTTCCAACTCCGGGCTTAATAAACTAAACTTGGCCCGACCCGGCTCAAACCCATGACCTCCGGATCTGACCCGTACATGCTAGCACTAGCCCACCGAGGCAGTTAACCAAGCTATTCTTGCTAAGATATGGTGTGTATGTCTGCATGTGCCGGGTCTAGAGCCGGTGGTCGCCACAGCAGGCGGTGCAGTCGAGGCAGCGCTGCGCCCCGCTACGCGACCGCTATCTCTTGCCGCGACACGCACCCGATATTTGTTCCTGGAAATTATTTTTGATTATATTAAAATAGTGATATTAGTTCTATTTTGTATTGATTAGTTTGTTCTCGTTTTGATCGAGTTTATTTAAAAGGACCTGTTCTTTTTTAGTGTCTACATGTGTCTTATATTGAGGGGCACTCGGGGCTAGTGCCCAGGGCGGCAAAATTAAGAAGGTGGGAAAAAAATCTTTCTTCGCATTATCGAAAATGCTTTATTTTCCAAAAAATGAATCAAAAAATTTTTTACTATTACATTTTTCGTAAAATGCCTTTTTCAAAAACATCATAATTAAAAAAATTGACTTTATCAAAACTTTATCAAACATTTCGATAATAGAGCGGCATTTTTTACTATGCCCAGGAGCGGCGCTAAGGTTAAATCCGGCACTGCAGTAGGGTCACTACAAACTGAGCCTAACGTATCGTCAAACAAACAAACGAAAGCTACAAAGTCGCACCTGCAAGGAGCGCACCGCCTCCAGCAGCTCGTGCTTGTCGGCGAGCAGGCTGGCCGCCTCCTGCTGCGCCGCGTGCGCGCACTGCCGCAGCACGGACGCCTCCTCCGCTTTGCTGGGGTAGAATTAGTATTTATTAATTAATACTTTCTTAGATTTACGCGAATATTTGACATTTTAGATAGGGAGAGACAGTCTCTCCCGTGACCATGATTGCTGTAAAGCATTCGAAACCTCGGTAACTAAAATTCAAAATAAATCAAAGAAATAATCCTAAAAGATAGTTTTATTTAAAATGGTATTTATTAGACTAGCGATTTAGCCTGGCTTTGCTCGGATATTTTCTTAGTACCTTATACAATAATAATTTTTCACACGCTCCTTTGCGCATGTGGAATCCGAAAAGTTATAAACATAATAAAAATATTTTTTTCCTCACCAATTTCAGCCACGGTGGCCAGTCTCGTCGAGATTAACCGCCTGCGCAGGAGATATTGTAGTGCATTATTTCTGTCATTTTTAAACGCGTGTGGTTCAATTTCATATGACCGGTGATAGATCCGGAGAGAGTGCTCTGCCTTGGCATTCCACCCCTTTGACCCTTTGACCCGAAGGGATTCGGGTTTTTATTGAGCATGAATTAAGCTTCACGACCTCCGGATCTACAGCCATATATGTAAGCTAGTCACTAGACTATCGAGGTAGTTGATGCCTAATAGCCTATGAATTACTCCAGGTCTTAGTCTATCTGGATAATACATCCAAATCCCTCCAGTCATTTTAAGACCTAAGATTTTTTTTCAATAAGAACATTCTAGCAACATTACCAACTAATAATACTTACGCCCTTAACTCCCTATTATCTTCCGCTATCCGATTCAAAGTGGCTAACCGTTTCTTCAGTTCTTCATTTTCCTCATTCAACCTTTGTATTTCATCCATTGCCTGCTGCAGTTCAGGAGGTGGACTACTAGGAGAGACTGTTCTAGACGGAATCGTGGGACCTAAGTGGACCACTCCTGAGGAGTCCCTGTTCAGACGAAGGGTGGTAAGATCTAGATCTAAGGGTTGAGGAGGTGGGGATGATATCGAGCGGGTTGGTCGATCTTCTACTAAGTGAAGTTTCACATTTTCTATAAGCACCTGGAATATTAGTACTAGGTTAGAAATTATGAATTAATAAATGTATTATAATAATTTATTAACATAATAAAGAATAAAGTATGATTTAACTACATTGATACAAAATTAGTTATTACTGAGATCACCATATCCTATGTCTTTTAAATTAAACATTTTTCCATTGATATACAAAAATTCAAGATAAACGCTTAGCGTCTCAAAATTTTCCTCAAATAAGTACGCAATTCGAAATTGAATTGTGCTTTTTTTAAATCTCTTTTATTCATTGCTTTGTGAATGAAAAAATTAAAACGCACGTTGTTTCGTTTAAAACAGTACTTTATGTGGTGTGCGTAAGGTTGAATTTGTGTTGAGACAATTAGAACTTTCGATTTTTTTATTTTATTCTTTGGTTTGACTTAACATCACATGTCGACGCCACTCTTTGAATAGATAAGGATTGTTTGTTTGTCTATGTTTATATGTGTTTATATTAATGCACTTTCTAAAATTTAACTCACATATATGAGGCATTTCATACAGAGTCTAGTGATTACATTTATATTAACAATATTTAATTATTATTTGACATACTTATTTTACTTACCTCTAAAGGCATCGGTGGCAATACCACCTCGTCCTCAATAAACTCAGATAAAGCTAGGGCTGTGCTCATATTGAGAGCGATGCTTAATTCCCGTATACGAGCTTCTAAAATTTCCTCATAAGGAGCCAGCCCTATTGGTTCTCCCTTAAAATATAAAAAAATGAAATTTTCCCAACAAGCTGTTTTTGGCATTAAATTATTATTGATATAGAAGATTTTTTTATTAATTTCCATACTTATTAATAGTACAATGATCATTAAATATATGAGAGGAAGCTTCGTTTTCCGTAGATGCGTCTCACTCGATATAATAAATTTTTGCCATAATACTAATGTCCTCCTGATCGATTTCGGTAAATATCAGACAATATCACTAGTCCATATAATATGTAGTAGTATATAATAAAATTCTAACTGAGTCAAATCCGTACATTAAATATTTTTTGGAAAATCTCATTGAAATTGACATTATTATTGATACATTTTTAGACTTTTTGTCAGTCTATCTGTCTGGGAACGCATCACGGGAAAACCACTGGACAGATGTTAATGAAATTTGGTATGACGATAACTGGTTAACCGGGTCAACATATAGGATACTTTTTACTGCGGGAAAATATCTCAAGATATCTCGCTAGTATATTATAAAATACCTTTTCATTTAACGTCCTCGGCAGTTCTGTCCTTATAAGCCTAGCTGCGACACGTGGCGTTTCCTTTGGCTTGAAGTCATCTTCATCATTGGTTGGCTCCGACCACGCCCGAGCACGCATCGAAAACTTATTCTGTAAAAACATTTTATAATAGTAGCATTGAAAATACAATTTTAAATATTTGTACGTTGGATTATAATTTATAACTAATAATAATAATATAATTACATGCAAAAATAAAATAGCTAATGATGCTCTATAAAAGGCACATTGTGTAGAGTTTTTAAATAGGGACATTTCCACTCAATCTTAACACTTTTGATTATAAAAACCACAATAAATAAATTATAGTTTAATTAACTAAAAAAACATGCTTTAATAATGAACCGAACTAAAAAGTAAAAAATATATTTTTTGTATAAGAGTAAAGTGATTAATGAGAAAAAAAAAGTTATTGTGAAAAAAGCGTGGGGCACTTTGTTCAATATTTTTATTCTAACTCTACTTTTAGAAACTTTACTTTTTACTTCAAAATCGTACCAGTGGAATATTTATAACAACTGATATCGAGTACCTCACGAACAACCCACGCTTTTTTCACAATAACTTTAATTTTCTCGTTAATCACTTTATTATTATACTAAAAAATATTATTTACTTATTAGTTCGGTCATTTCTCGGTCGGCGTCTTTTTAGTTCGGTTGTTTTTTTTTAGATTTTAAAACTATAATTTATTTTCCATTTTTTAGTTTAATCTGCTATAAAAGTGAATTTCTTTAATTTTTATTTTTAAACATTTTTTTTAAATTAATTATTATATTATCATCGGTCCCTTGACAAGTGTGCTAAATTTCAAGTTAATCTGACATTTTGAAGTGGGTAAAAATCGCGTTCAAAGATTCCGTTAAATAGATAGATAGAAAGCTAATAAGAGCGTGTTAAAAGAACAAATCAGTCCAATTCATTAGAACAATGAACATAGGATATTGGCCAACATACCAAAAAAGAGCATTTAAGATAATTTTACGACGCTGCTATTGATAATAAAGATGCTGATTAGGCTCATCTCTTATCTCTTGATTGTGTAGTTGAAAAAATATCTAAAATAAATTAGATTAATTACGTTTGCGCTTATTTTAATTATTTATAATCGAATTGAGTATAAAATGGATTATCTGCAAAGTTAAACACCTTTTATAAGCATTTATTCATAAGGATTTATAAATCTATGTCGAGTATCTAACATGCAAAAAGCATACCTCTCACTTATAAAGTAATATTAGTATGTATATATTTCAGTGTATGTAAGTACAAGTAAGTTTAGAATAAATTGTATGTCAGTTATGTGATGCTAATTCTATTTAAATGTAGAGTTAAGTTAAAAATCTAACATCAAAAGCAAAATTATTTCAAAACCAATTAGTAATAAAGAGAATAAATAAAAAGCTGATTTTTTATTTTTTTATTATAAATTAGAAAAACATGCATTACTTACATTCAAGGTCATTTACGAGTATGTCACCCACAGCTTAAATTTCGACAATTAGATTTTTTTTAATTATTACATTATCACAAAATTCTTAGTATCCGAGAATTCACTATAATATTAAAAAACTACAATATTAAACGTTTTTATGTAAGGCGTAATTATTGGAACAGAAATTGTTTCATAAACTTATTAATATACGCTATTTTTAGCGACTTATAGTACAGCCGAAGCCGCTGTTGAACACTAGTCCGTATTATTTATTTATAATATTATAAATGTGAAAGTGAGTGTGTATGGATGTATGTTACTCTTTCACGCCAGAACGGCTGAACGGATTTGAATGAAAGGCACAGAGATAGATTATAGTCTGGAATAACACAAAGGCTACTTTTTAGCTCGGAAAAATGTACGGTTCCCGTGGGATAGGTTTGCTTTTTTTCCTAGAGTTGAACCCGAGCGAAGCGAGGGTGAGCCGCTAGTCTTAGTCTATAAAGTACAAATGACCTCCAATGTAGTATACAAAACAACAACTAAAACTACAATGAGATGAGATGTCATCGGAACATGCAAGTCCAATTTACGTCGCAGCACACGACAGTGAGCAAGCAATATTAAAATCTGAATTAATTAAGAAAATTTAGTGTATTTAAGATCTATTTAATGGCTAGTTCTGCTAATTTTAAACTCATGCTTTACTGTGCAAAGTTATACGTTAGTTAAGCTTTAGAAGATACTGCTATCTCGTAGAGCAACTGTAGAGTCTATCTGTCGTAGAGCAACTGTACATTTTGACATGAAACGTATTTAAAATTACACCGAAACAAACGGGCATCAGCCACCAAGTCAGAAAAGTGGACCGTAACGAAATGGTTGCATTAAGTTATAGTAACCGTTGTTATTGTTTGAAAAATGATATACATACATTCTTTCCGTTGCTATCTTTAAAGATTACTATTTTTATTAACGCTGAAATAGACGTTTCACGTTAAACGAATGGCGGTGTGTTCCGACACAGCCTCACCCGACTTTTTTTAAGTATAAATAAGTGGGTAACATTCTGAGATAGCAATATGTTACTTTCTCTTTCATTCGAACACATACAGAACCCCCTTGGCTACGACACAAAACCTCTACAAACTAATTCGCAAATGATACCACTACGGTGTCATCAACACTATCGGTCAGACGCTCAAATACCTTGACATGCGGGGAATCATATTACTTTCCAATAGTCCACAAGAAAAATGAAACCTTATAATCTAGTTCATAAGGTTTTGTTTCTTTTGTATAGATCTTGTAATTATTCTCTTTACAAAATTATAGTTTATTATTATTTTTCTTTGCGTAATTTTTTTTGCATATACATATTATGTAATATGTATGTTATTTTATTATATACTTATATATGTATGTATATAAAAAATTACGTAATATGTATATTATTACATTATTAATTATTATTTTTTACTTTAGCTTTACAATGAATGCTTTGTATAGCAGGAGAATGAGTGCATTAGATATTGTCCATAAATTGCCACATGAAAAGGAAAGATGTAATGAAAAAATGTTCGGGCAAAGACTGACACATTTAGGGCCTAAAAAACGTGTGACATTTATAATCTGTGACAAAGTGTGGAAATGAAAAAACGCCAAAGACAAGACAAATTATGGACCACACAATAAAAAAAAAACCTCATTTTTCTCGCGAACTATTGCAAAGTAATAATTTCTTGCAAGTCATGGAATTCGGCAAACCAACGTCTTTTATAAATTATCAAGTACCTTGAGTCGGATCTTTCGCACGATAGCCGAGCGGGCGGGAGTTGCCATAGAAACACATAGACAACAAGTTAGAGAGGATGCATTCCTTAGGTACATAATTGTTATTGAAACAGCGATTTTGATCATGGGGTACGCACGTATGAGCTCGTGATGGGTGACCATGCAACTTGTGAGCTTATATCATGGCATGTTTAAATATTACCATTAAAATAATTCATATTTTATATTTTAATATGCATAATTCTTTTTTTGTTTTTTTTTTTTTTAAAGTACTTAGTGTTTATGGTATAAGCTCATTTGAAATTGATGAATAATAAAGAACATTTTAAAAAAAGTGATCGGTAAACATGCTACGAAGATTATATTTATGCCATTGAGGAAGTAAGTTAGGAAACTGAGAAAATAATTTGAATATAATGTGATATGTGGCGAGTATGTATAGAAGGAAAGTGTCTGAATCTAACATGGACGGTGTTTGAATAATGGCTTTCAAATGTAAACAAGTAAAAATTATTTTAATTAAAATTTGTAAAATTATTGAGTTTCTGCTATTACATTCGTAAAATAATTCGTAAAAAATGCTATGACTTAGTAATAGCATGTTAATTAAAGTCTTTCAATTCGATAATTATAAAATATATTCAAGTGTCGTCTATCGATATAATATAACTAAGAATATTTGATCTAAATGACAATGTGTTATATGTTAACCAAAATATCATAAACTATACGACCGAAAGTGATAAAACTCACCTGGAACTCGTCCCAGGGTATGGAGGAACACTCATCGCTCTTCAGATCATCTGCTACAATTCTCATACAGGACTTTCCGTTCGCACTCTGCTGCACTAGATGTATGTTGTTCAGACGTAGAGTGCAAGTCGATATCTTAAGAAATAAATATATTAAATTTATTTAATTTTTTGTCCAATTTATAATCTTATTATTTATGAGCAATTAATTCAGACTAATGAAAATATTTTGCAAAATTTTCACACATTCGAATTAGACTCTATGATAGCTACTGGTACATAAAATATGATTCTAATCAATAAAAAATGAAGTACAAAAGTATTTAAATAAATTAGAGGCCTAGCACCCACCACGTCACGACGCTTGCAAGAGCTTGTAATGGAGTGGTCGCTGGGAGATGACGATCGTTCGACTACTTCTGCCGCAACTTCTACTCCACTGGACAGACGTCCGTGTTCGAACTCTCTGCGATATAGGAAAATTGTACTAATATTAAAAATGAGCAAATTTGTAACTGATTATTGTTTTGACACACTATAACGACTCAACGGATAAGTGAAATTTGAAGATAATTTATTCAGAATTAACACAATACGTACTTAAACTAAATTTTCTAAGCAATATAATTATAAAAAAAAAGAAACCTTGTATGCATTTTATTATCATCCTTTAAATTATGATTTTGAATATATTGTAACAGATGGAAATTATGATTCCCGGATTTTGACATTTCCATTAAATTATCGGAACTCTACCTACTCAAAAAAACCCAAACTACACTTTTTTTAAATAAAAAAAAGTTATGTTATTATCGTTAAAATACTTGTAAGTAATAGAAATAGATATACTATATATACATAGGTATGACCATCACGTACAACGGACAACGCTGCCTAAGTACGGAAAAAACCGTGCCAGAAGAAGAATAGTTATGATGAGTTTTATATCCTTGACAAATGTTTGATTACGCATACAAACTTCTACCCCCTCTTTTCACTTTCTTAAGGGATGATTTCTGGGATGAATAACTATCTTAAGTCCTTTCCTGGATCTCAAACTATCTCAATACCAAATTTCATCCAAATCGGTTCAACGGATTAAGCGTGAAAAGGTAACAGACCGACAGACAAAGTTGCTTTCGCATTTAAAATATCAAGTATAGATTTATACCGAAAAGCAACATCAGCATCATCAGGAGATTCCGTCGCCAGTCCAACTACCACATAACGGTCGCTATCCGAGCTTGCGGTGGATGCCGCGTCGCTCCTGCAGTCATCTCGCGTGAGGGCGCTGTCTATCGACGTCACCAGCGAAGTGAGCCCGCGACGCATCGACGAGAAACCTAGGAAAGAATAATATATCAAATTATAATATTCTCCTGTAATATTTGATGCAAGATTAGCTTTTTGTCTACGGTTTTAGCTGTGCCGGTATTAGTGTTAGTAGTGTACTTTAGTGTGGCTATTATAATTTTGATTTGCAAAGTGGCAACTAGCTCTATGCTCTATGCTAATTAAAATTCAAAGGATTGTGATTGGTTGAAATGATAGATATTGAATATCCAAGTTTTTTCCTTATATAAAATCTAAATTTTGTGCACATATTAAAAATTATCTTTTAATAAATGCATTTATTTTTTGTTCTGAAATTGATAAATTATGAATCATTGAAACACATTTCTCATATTAATAATGCAGATTACTAGCAAGGAAATAGTACTAAATATAAATCGTTTCTGATATTTTATATCAAGTTTCCAAACGATATTAGTATGTATATTAAATCTATATTAGCACGCAATGACACTCTTATACAAAACCTTCAAATAACACGTGGTACACACCTCTATATCTAATTCTAATGTATCAAGCTCTACAGATTTACCTCCAAAACTTATCGAGGTGGTCATAGACGGTATATCCTCAGCGGGTAGAGTGGGAAATGATCCTATAAAGACTCTTAATAAATTACTGTTACTCAATTTACAAGGTGGAGTACAAATGGGAGTTGGCGTTTAATATTTGTTCAAATATATAGCTTGTAATGTAATACAAAAAATAATATTATTAATTTTTCTTATTTTTCCAATGTGAAAATTAAAATATATATAACTTTGTCCGAGACTAAATTTTATAATATAGAATTAATTGGAGTTGTTTAGAATGATTGAGCAGAGAAAAACAAAACAAAACAGATCTTGACAATATACATGTACATATTTTGTAAAAATATGTACACCATACCTCCAATATTCTAATGATGTAAGACGAGATATTTTCAATATTTTTCGGTTTTATCGAGTTCCCTATATTTCAACACTTTTACAAGCGCCAGGCGAAATAGAGCCCATACTATATAAAAGTAAAAAACATGGTAAATATCCCACTTTACATCAAAATAATAGTCAGTGTCCATGAAAGCTGGTAGCATACCTCCAAACCCAAGCCCAGGACTGGGAGGAGCCATCTCCTCAGCAGGCAGGGGCAGTGCCGTGCACACCTCTATGGAGCCCTGCGTGGCGAGCACCCCGCTGTCCCGGTCCAACATGGACGGCGCCATTGTTGCTTCAGACCCTAGGATCAAATGTACATATAGACATACTATTCATATTTATTTTCATATATCTTGAACCCCCTTTTGAAATATAAGGCCATTTATAATATATGTTTTTGACAATAAGTCACATCTCAGATTTTCGTTCCAAAATAAATTAATCGATATCTATATATATTATGTAAATATGAATACAAATCATTGATTAATCTTGGAATTAATATATTAAACTAAAATTATCCCTAAAACAAAAATACATTAATAACTTACCCATTTTCAGATCATTTAGGCTGGAGGAATCGAGTGGTACACTGTCCAGGTCTCTGGACGACTCCTGACCTGGACAGCTTGTTGGTAGCACCAACGTCACCTCTACCGCCGGCACTACGAGACCCACTACTAGAGATCTAAAAGAAATAAAAATAATTAAGAACAACAGTCTAACTAAAAACTGTCCGAGCGTCATAAATATACGTAATTAATTGTATTCAGCACGTATGTAATTAATTGATGTATTCAGCTCTTTTTAACGTCCCAGTGCTGGGGGTAGGCCTTCCTTTAATACGAGGGGGACTAGACCATAGTCCACCACGCTGGCCAAGTGCGGGCGGACTTCACGTCCTTCGAAAACTAACTATATAGCTTCTTTTCGATCTCCTCGCGATATTTTCCTTCACCGTAAATCAAGTGGTAATCAAGTTAAAAAAATATATCTTATATTTACGCAATACATGATATATCTATATCCTATCCGATAATATTGCTTAAGAAGATGACAATCTCATCCCTAATCTTCCTTCATTCGCATTCATTTTTTTTTTGCCCTAAAATCAATAGCTATAGTGATATGTGAGTCATTGGTGTCCATCGGCCTAGCCACGCCCCCCGACCAATTAGGTTGCTTAAAATTATAAAAAGTCAAGTTCACAATGACCAGTTGAAGGCTGACTTAAATATATCATAATATTAATGACAATTTTTATTTTGAGATAATTAAGTTTATTAATTATCTCAAATCGAAATAAAGTCATTATCATCTCAAATCAAGGTTTGATTTTTATCCATTAAACTTTATCTTTAGAAATATTGAATTTGAATTGAATTTTTACTCCCGCTTTGTATACACACCTTTACCTACTGTTGCACTTTATGACTCACTATTTTGTTAACGCGAATGGTCTATAACAATAGTGATTGATTTAGAACTATCTTTTCAATAGTAACAGAAACTGCTGAAGTTATAAAATTAATTGGTGATGGTCTCACCCCTGGTCTTCCTCCGGCAGGCGGGCGACCTGGTGCGCGAGCCAGGCCGCCAGCTCGCCCATGCGCTCCAGCTGGCGCAGCAGGAACAGCAGCTGGTAGTGGTTCAGCTGGAGGCCACTGAGGCCGCACGTGCGACCTATCACCCAGATGCGGTTGAAGCCGTCTTCGAAACACACCTGGGATTAAATGTTTTAGATTTTTACTTATTGAGATAATTAATTTTAGAGTAATATAACCTTATTTAGCTAATGTCCTTAAATTAAATATAATTGGCATGGTATGTGTAGCCTCCTGGTAATGACAGTAGAGTGGATCAAGGGAACAACATCTTAGTGATATGGTCTGCTTCGTCAGGTTCTGTTGGGTTTTAGTGTGTATTACTGGTTTTTCTAACGGGTGAGTCCCACATAACCACCTGTATATATGTAGGTCATATGCGTAAATGCATTTCCCAACAATTAAAAAAAGTATGTTTAGTCTAGCTTGCGTCAATTTTAATCGAATTAAAATATTAAGATCAAAATTCGTTTTAGTACTATTTTAAAACTCTTACTTACATATATATATGTATATAAAACATGTATGACAAACAATTATATATAACTTGAATTTTTTAGATCCTTCTATTTATCGGTAAGAGAGATGTCAAGATCTTCAAATCTCAGCCAGGTCCGTCAACTCACCCAGGCAGTGAGCGGCGTGGCGTCCAGCAGCGGCGAGGGCTTGTAGTTGGTGGCGCGCGCGCCGCAGAAGTCCGCCCACAGCGGCTCCACGCGCGCGCACCACACCGCGCGGCTCTCCCGCCACAGGAGCTCGGGCGTTATAGCTGTGCCACGGTCTATGTCGTCTAGATCTATACAGATAAATGAAATTGAAATGTCTGTTTGTAATGTCAAAATAACATGTTTTGCGTTTTACTAAATGCATATGAAATTATATACGGTACTTATAAGAAAAACACATTTTTTTTAATTTTTGTCTGTTTGTTCCGAATAATCACTGAAACGGCTGGACTGATTTTGACGGGAGTTTCACTGGAAGATAGCTCATGTTATAGGATACTTTTATTTTAGAAAAAGCATAAGGGTTTCGCTCAAAAAAACTACGACGTCTTTGGTTAACAAATAAATTATAAACAATCACAAATACTTCTTATAATAATAATAATTTTAGAGTTATTAAGAGTTGGTTAGAAATATCTATTATTTCTTATCCTTATAGACTCAAGGGATTTGAATGGAATTCTAAATAGGGATGAAATATATAATATCTTGAATAAATACAACCTTTATTTTATACCTTTTTTTAATAGCTTTATGTACTGACTGCGCTAAGAAAAACGCCGGCCATAAAAACATATGTATGTACATCCTATCGGGAATCTTCTTCTCCCTGCCGATTTCCCAATCACTTGGGGTCGACGCAGTACATCTTCTGTACTGCTGAAAGGATTTGGCAAAAGTTTTACGACCGGCCACCTGCCTGACGTCAACCCTCCTTGGGAATGCTATCGGGAATACATTTGATTAATAAACGAAAAATAATAATAAAAGAGTATCACTTACTATCAGCATGCAGCAAGAACTGTTCATGTATAGGATCCATATCGTCGGCGGAACATGGGAACTGTCCCCGGGGTGGTGCAGATCTTCTAACGGCAGATATTATGGAAGCCAAGTCAGCCCTATTGCCTGCTGTATCTGATAAAATGTTAAAGAAACAAGAAATTAATTTCTAATAATTGAGAAAGTAAAGTTTTGTTTAAGTTTTAAGTCAATCTATCACTCACTTGATCGTGATGATTCTCGTACATTAGTGAAAGTAGCTCTAGCGGTACATATATGTAGCTCTTTGGGTCTGTCACGTTGCTGCGAGACGTGTTCTGGACCTGCTTCTAGAACAATCTGAAAAGAGAAAATTATATTAATGGTATAACTATAACTTTATTTTATTTTTCTTATTTCTTTTAATTTTTGTCTAACAATATAATTTATTTTAAAACTAATAATAAATTAAATTAAAAAATACTCTATTATCATTTTTATTATTATTCATAAACAGAATCTAGTTACTTAGTAACTGAATCTAGTATTTAAATAAACACGGATCACACTACCTCCAGCACAATAGACTGTGACAAACAAACATTTAACTCAACAACAACTACATAATGCCTGTATTACTTAAAATTATAATTAAAAAAAAGTTTATTGCACGCACACAAACACATACACCTATATGTACACACACATACATAATACCAGTTTAAGTCTTCTAGGACACCGGCAGCCTGTTAGACTACCGGGACTCTCTGGGATGGAAAGACTAATACTACACGCAGCACAAGTTCACGCAGAATTACGGGCAATAATGCCTAAGTGCGGAAAAGCCCGTGCAGAAGTGGGAACACATAAACCCTCTTACCTTAGGCATTATAGCCTCGGCCCGCACATCAATATACGAGGAGGTGTCGTCTTTGGGCGCGTTGTCTGCGGCGGCGGCGCCCACATGCGGCAGGAAGGCCGCCAGCCACAGTATACTGGGCACGTCCACCGACACGCGCACCGGGCTCAGCTGCACGTACAGCTTGGGAGATGGCACTGTCCATACAAACTTTTATTCGTAGACCATTGATATATAAAAACATAGATAGACAAATCATAACTAATATCTCTTCCAAAGTGTGGCGTCGATATGTGACATTAAGTCAAACCGAATCTATGTTCTAATAGAGGCGTGTGGTTTAAATAAAGACGAAATATTTTTTTTTATAATCTTTATTGCTTTTGAATTAAGCCTATATTAATATTTTTAATGTAATTTTTTTCATTAGGAAAATACTTATTAAAAAGTGTAAGTAATATACGTGGGAAAAGTCAAAATACTTGAACGCAACGCCATTGGTCAGAGCAAATAGTCAGAGTATAATCATAATAGAGCGATTGGCGATTTTGTCGCTATAAATTGCTTAAACAAAACTCGTCATTTTTCCGGTGTGATATACGATGACGTCACGTCAAACGCACGAAATGTCGGGCGTTTAAAGTATGTTTTTTTTTATTATTTTAATACTAAATTTTAATTTCTTGAAACCGGATATTTTTTTACAACTACATAACGATGTAAGCTATTGTATAAATAATAAAAAAAAACGTATATTTCCTAGTGTCTAAACACAAATTCGAACTTACCACATAAAATCGTTTATTAAACGAAACAACGTGCATTTTAATTTTGTCACTCGAAAAGCGATGAACAAAAGAGACTAGAAAAAAGTTCAACTCAACTTCGAATGGTGGAAAATGCACTCCTATGGTGAACTCCTTTTGTAGACACCTTTGAGACGCTAACGAGTTTTTATAAATTAATGTTAACCAAAAGTGTACTCTTTATTCCTGACACTTTTATAATCCGGTGGGATGAGGTGATGCACCACCAACCTTCCAACTACGGGCTGCGACTGAGATTTTTTTGATACAAAAGCCGACCAAAAAAAAATACTCGACCCGACCAGAAGATCGAACCCAAGACATCCAGATACATTCACATAAATAGTACATTCTAGTCACAAAACCGTCAGGACAGTAACTATACCTATAACCTAATGCTATTATTATTGCCATAATGAAAGTACATTAATATGGCATAAGATCTTAAGCAGACTTACCAGGGAAGCATACATCCCCAGGATAGTAGAAGAAGGTCAGTTCTGCGTGCAAAAGTCCCGCATCGCCCGGTAAAGTTGCTTTTTCAGCACTCACTAATGGCCGTGGGGTTTCTCGAGATTTCGATCCGGTTGATACCTGGCCAAGGGAATATAGACTTAATGAATATGACTTATTTGAAATAGATGTTATAATTGTAAATGTATGGGAAAACTGTTTTTATTTGCATAACAATAAAAGAAGGGGCTGATTTAATAGTAATAAAGTTAAATTTTAATGAATCAAGTCGATTTTGAGCTTGAACTTTCCTATCTATGGATATTTTAACTCGTTACTATCTTTCGGTTCAACTTTTTAATATTAAATATTTAGAAAAATATACACACTTTAAGCCGCTGTCAATCCAAACATAGATTAGTCAATGAAAATGCACAAAAAATATATTTTTGATATGCCTAAACATAAATAATATGTACTAAAAAAAATTACCTTATAAACTGTAAAATCGTCTATCCTAAGCACAAGACACGTAGTCATTAGTTTCCCGAGCTGCTGCAGTATTCGTGTTCTTGTGGGCGACGCTGAGGAAAACATATAATATTATATAGATTTTTATTTGTCTCGTAAGTCGATAACTGTTTAAGTTCTCTTAGAAAAAAATAATTAGAGATGTAAGCAATTAAATCCATACTAATATATAAAGCTGAAGATTTTTTTTGTTTGTTTATTTTAATGAGCTAATCTCTAGAAATTCCAGCACAATAAAAAACCTTTCTTTAAATATAAATTTGCATTTATAGCTTATATAATATGCTTGCTCATTGAGAGAGGGCTATAGGCTATTTTGTATCACGCTATGACTCTTAGGAGCGTAGAATTGTACAAAATATAGATATAACCGACGTAGGCGTGCAAAGGCTACTTTCAATTCAATTTTCTTTTTAATAGCATCAAAACGTGCCAATTGAGCACAGATCACTTCACCAATATCACGTAAAACAAAGATTGGTTAGTAATAAATAAACGTCGATCAAAAAAGTACTATATATACACAATCCCATGCAAAAGTTCTCTTAAAACTGTCACCAACTGTGTTTAAGTAATTATTCTAGTTGAAATAAATATACAAGAATGTAAAATAAACCTCAAATGCAATACTTAAAGTTATTTTCACATTAAAAAAATCAAAACCGTCCTCAAGTGTTCCAATGAGCGCTCATTCGGTGAGGACATTTTTGTCGCTGATTGTGTATCTAGTGTTTTTTTGATCGATGTAAATAAGTGTGATTTGTTTATAGAATGGCATACCTTGCGAGGTAACGGTGTTGGGCGGCGGCGGCGCGGGCGCGGGCGCGCGGTGATTGATGCCGTTGGACACTGGCTCTTCTACACGCTCGGATTCATTCGTTGACTGGAATATCGATTTATTATATACATTATTCTATGTATTATTTAATTGTGGAAACTTTATTGGTCAATGATCTATATTTTATGTTTTGTTTTTAATTATATTATTTTAAACTGTTTGTTTTTCGTATAAAATAAAAATATAAAAATTTATTGATACAATGATTAGGTAATTAATTGTTTCAGTGTATAGTAAATTTTGTCATAATTCGTGACTAATTAAAAAGTTATTCGTCGGAATTTTCTTTTGAAATTATCTCTTGATTAGTCTATTGATAGAATCAATTAATCGGTTTAGGACGAGCGAAGATATACTATACTATGTACTGGCTTACATATACTGAGTCTTAAATTTAGAATTGTAATTAACGATTCAAATAAAATATATTTTGATTTCTGATATAAAAGCATATCCATCTCCTTTAAAATCGGCGAAAAATAAACATACAGAAGTATTACAATAATTAGGTAATTAGGAGGATTTTATTTAGATTAAAAAAAAGAAGTTACTAACCTTAGTGCTAGGAGCAACCGGTCTAGGATCCAGAGTTTCGAGCAGCGTAGTGCAGAAGGACGACAACGCCTGTGACAGCCATTGGCTGTGAGGAGTCGCTGCTTCTCTGTTTAAAAATAATAAGATAATATAACATAACAATGTACAATATACACTAATATTATATAGAGGAAAGATTTGTATTTTTGTATGTTTGTAACAAATAAACTCAAAAATTACTAGACCTATTTAAATGAAATTTGTTAAGAAGATAGTTTGGGACCCTGTGAATGGATATAGGATATTTTTTATTCCTGAAATCATCCCTAAAATGGGGATTAAAAGTTTGTATGGGGAATCAATCTTGGGATGAGCCGCTAGTAATATTATATATACGAAATTTTGCGCACGAGTTAAGTTACTTCTTCAAGATATACTCAAAATGGCTCAACTAGCTCATATCTTGGATTAACACATAATATTCTATTTTATGAATGTACCTTCCACGTAAGCCAAGTCGCGAGTCCAAACTAGTGACTAATAAAAGTTAAATTTTATATATAATTAATTAATTAGTTTACAATGCACATTCATAGATGGCTACTAATGACTGAACCCCACGTATTGAAGGGAGGCCCGTGTCCATCAGTGGGACGTTAAAAATGCCTGAACATACATACATTATGTACAATCTCACCTATATCCCCGCCAATGTCGTCTGTCATTAGAGGCCTTGTGGTAGGGGAAGAGGTCCGCTTGCATACTGACGAGTGTCACTTGTAGTGCACCGCCATTCGCTAGCTGCGGCATTTCTGACCTTCCCACTGGACAATAAAGCACATTTTTAATTATTTTAACTTACTAACCAAAATAATTAGGCTACTATAATAAAGGTGAAAGTGGTGTGTGTGCGTTGTCTATACTTTTGCACCACAACGCCTAGACGGATATGATATTTAGTATACAGTTTATGACCTTGACTAGATTATGACCTTGAAATAACACATAGGTTATTGGTAAGAATCAATGCGAAGCGATTGTAAGTTATTTTATTAATAAGAAAGGTACACTCAATTTTAAATTATCTTGAAAAGAATTTAAAATGATTTCAACTTGAGGCATAATATTTTCTTAGATTTACGCGATTTGACATTTTAAATAAAACTATCTTTTCGGATTATTTCGCGGATTTATTTTGATTTTTGGTTTTCTGGAATTGGAATACTTTACAGCAATCATGATCACGGGAGAGACTTGAGAGGCATAACTTATTATAAGTAATTTTTTTAATGAAAATCTGTTCACAATTGGATATCTCGTAACACCTCCTTTTTTAAAGTCGGTTAATAATTTAAAAAATAATAAAAAAAACAACTTACATCCCGGATCGTCACACAGGTGCAGATCCACCCGCGGCGCGAGCAGGTGGTAGGAAGTTTCTCGAACATCGTGCTTTGCGAACATCCGCGCCAGGATATCCCTGTCCCCGGAGACAGGACGACTTTGTATTTGGTCTCTGGGTTCTTCTATTATCTAAGAGATATAGAAAATAATGTATATTATTCAGGTTTATTGATTATGTACAAGTAATTTATTTTGTGAATTATATTTTATAATCATCAAACATTTGTGTGTCATGATCATATAATATAACTAGCGACTCATCCTCGCTCCGCTCGGGTTCCTTACTTACGTTTTCACATATAGTATAGATTTCTCAGTGATGAGATATTTTCCTGCAGTAAAAATTATCCAATTTGTTGACCTGGATAACCTATCTATCATCATACCCAATTTCATCAAAATCCCTCCAGTGGTTTTACCGCCATACGGTTACAAACAGACAGACGGACAGACAGATAAAAAATCTAACAACAATAGGTTCGGCGTCTGTATCGATACTGTACGGATTCGACTTAGTTACAATTTTATTATAGATAATAATAGGTATTTGGGGAAAAGGCGCGTAATACAGGTTTCCTAGTACAGCACAGAGGCTACCATATTTTTTGTATAGACACAGCCTAAGTTAAACTAAGCAAAAAAACGAAGATTGTTCAGTTTAATAATATATGTATGTTTGTTTTTGTATATAAAATTATTTACTGTTTATGTGTTTTTATTATTCAATATATTATTATTACTAAAGTCTATCTGTGTAAACACCAAACCCGTCCAGACGCAACACGCACCTTGTGCGCGGCCTTGGCGCGCGTGGCGGCGCGCGTGGCGCGGCGCACGGGCGCGGCCAGCGCGGCGGCGCACGCCAGCGCGGCGCGCAGCTGCCCGTCCGTCAGCGCCCACGCCAGCGGCTCCGGCCGCAGCACCAGCCGCGACCCCAGCACGCGGCAGTCTGACGACAGTGTCTTACACTACACTCGGATACATACACTACTCACTCCACTTCTCGTTATGTATCATTTTAATTTCATTTAATTAAATTTAACTTCATTTAAAGTTCATTTTCGACGAAGTTCTAGCGTCACCGCCCTCTTTTTCCCAGCTGTAAATTAGGCTCCAAACTTTGAGATCGAGCTCACTAGACTCAACATAAACATCAAATTACGCTACTAATTTTCACTTTAACATACATTTTTATCATTCGTCCATATAATTCTTAAGTCTGAACTAGCGACTTGACCTTGCTTCACTCGGGTGTGTCCCTAGGTACCTAATAGTATGTGTTACTCCAGCTCATAATCTATATCTGTAACTAAAACTAAATTCTATTCAAATTCGTTCAGCTATTTTATCGTAGAAGAGTAACAAACATACAAATTTTCAAATATATCTTTGTAATCAGATTAAAAACAGATATTAATTACATATTAATTAATCCACTTAAAATTAAGCTGATATATGAAGTCTAACAGTAACAAGGGGATAATCTTAATTCGTAAGTTTAAGCTGCCATTGATTTTATGGATTTAAGTTATAAGTATCCACCATACAAAGATAAAAACTTTAGCGTTGTTAAATATATTAATATATTTAATACTGTATAGATATTTTACAATATTATGTTAAAACAAAAACATATCTGACAGGAAACAAGAAAAAGCTAGTTAAGCACCGAATATTCAAAATATTCACATATTATTATAATATAATAAAAAAAAATTGGTCACACTTCAAGAATTGCACATTATATTGTAAAATTAAAGTTAAAAAAGTTTAACCTATAGTACATTCTTAGATTTACGCGAACATTTGACATTTTAAATAAAACTATCGTTTCGGATTTTTTCGCGGATTTATTTTGACTTTTGGTTCCCGACGTTTCGAATGCTTTACAGCAATCATGGTCACAGGAGAAATCCGAAAAGATAGTTATATTTAAAAGTTTAACATATAATTGACATATATCTTTCCCAAACTAACCTGACAAACGTTTCTTGATGACTATCCTACAGTGCGTGTTCCCCAACAGAAGCCTCAGGGGAGGGAGGTTGGCTGCCGCCGCGCCGTGCGCTTTCGCTTCTATTCGTGCACTTTGCCATTCCAGTTCCTGCAATAAATAATATGATAAATTAATAAAAGTTAATTTTTAACCTCCAAGCATTGCTATATTAGAAACATAGATACACATATCCTAAGAAGTATCTCTTCAATAAGTGGCGTCGACATGTGATGTTAAGTCAAACCAAAGAATAAAATTAAAAAATCGAAAGTCCTTATTGTCTTAATACAAATTCAAACTTACGCACACAACATAAAGTACTTTTAAATGAAACAACGTGAGTTTTAATTTCGTCATGCGAAAAGCAATAAACGTAAGAGATTTGAAAAAAATGTAATTCATTATCGAATTGTGCACTTTTTTGAACACACTTTTGAGACGCTAATTGTGTATTTTGAGTTTTTGTATATCAATGCCTCGAATGCCTCGAAATACTAGCGACTCACCCTCGCTTTGCCCAGATTCGTCCCTAGCTTGCTTCCCAAGACAAACTTTAATCCCCATTTTCACCCCCTTAAGGGATGATTTTCGGGATAAAAAGTAGATCTCAAACTATCTTCTTACCAAATTTCATCTAAATCGGTTCAGTAGATCCATAGACAATCCCCTACAACGTCAGAAACTCACAAACTTTACCTTTTTGTAATATTAATATAGACTTAAAATTTGGTTGATTCTATTCATAAAATAGAGAATTATTAAAATCGCATTACATAATATACAAAAAAAAACAACCACTTTAATGGTTTGAACAGGAGTTTGTTGAACTTGGTGTTGTGAAAAGCGATATGTTAGTATATTGTAAATAATAACATGGCCTTTGTTGATAAGATATAATATCTATACAAATAAATAAAATTGAAGTGTTTGTTTGTAATCTCAAAATAACAGATTTTTACTAAATGCTTAAGAAAGTATATAAAGTACCTATATAACATGAAAATAATCATTTTTTAATTTTATGTTTGTCTGTTGATTCCGCCTAGTCTCAGAAACGGCTGGACTGATTTTGACGGGATTTAGATTTTTAGCTGCTGTTTCTTAATCTAAAAATTCCGCGAAAAAACATTAAAACCCATGAAATTGTAAAAAAAACCGCGTACCTACGGACGGACCCGAACGAAGCGATATCGCAATAAAGCGCTATTTGAAAATAAAAACAAATTTAAAATAACATTGTATAAAGTACAAGATACCTTAAAAATAAGCAGTTGCCCAGTGTCTGGGGATTTGATTCTAGTCAGTCTGAGATCGCCCTTTCGCCCTTCCGGTGTTCGGGACTCCACCGTCACTCTTGAAATCTGGAAAGTGAAACGATTTATTTAGATACATAAAAATTAATAAAATATTCGTTTAAAAAAGGCATTCATTCAATATTCCCATTTTTTTTTAAGGATTACTGATGTCTAAATCAAAATGTCTCAATTCGTCTGTATGTTTTTTTATGTTTGTTACCTCAGAACTTCGTCATATATTAACCGATTTAGAATTTTTTTGTTTTGTTTGAAAATGTATACGAGTTGGTCCAATTTTATGTCTGTAACAACTATATAATGACCTCTTAGTCGTCTAAAACCTCAAAATTTCCCTTGATCGTGTTTCCGTGACCATCCAAAAAATCAAATAGCGAAAAAATCCGAAAAAGTAGTCTCATTTAAAATGTCAACCATTCGCGAAACATCAAACATCTAAGAAAGTAAAAAGAAAATATTATATACTAGTAAATAGCATTAAGCAGTGTTTACACTTTACAGTAACATTGGCACAAAGTAGACAAAAGAGCGAGGAGGGAGGTAGAGAGAGTGTAACTATGTTTTATAAAATTGCATAAAAATCATATCTCCTGTGATTTAAAAGACGAAACTGAAAATAATTTATTAAATTAATATAAAACTCACCTGAACACTACTGGTGAAAGCATCACATTTGAATTCTATTTGCACTTGATTCACAGCCACTGATATCCCATCTATCACCTGTAAAAATATAATATGTTACAAGTTCTCAATGCAAAAACCTTTACAGAATATTTTATGTCGAGAAAACATTATGTTTTTGTTAACATAGACAAGACCGATAATTATTAACACAATTATTACTTCAGCTATCTACGTCATATTTATTTCGTTATGTGAGGCCATTTATAAGTAAAACTAGCAAATATCTCATCATTTTCTTAAACAGACAGGACATAATAATGTTACAAAGTATCTTTTAGAGATAAAACCCAGATATTTTAATAGGATGTCACTCAAGAATATTTTGAATTTCTTATAAAGTCATCGTCTATAAGCGTGTAAGAGCATACAAAATATGTATTATGTTATTAAAATAAATCCTATTAACATTCGTCCAGAAATTCTTGAGTTATAAATGATTACAGAGAAAGACATACACTAAAACTTTATATTTGCCTTCATTCGCATCCTAAATATCCCCAAGTGTAAAATATCCAAAAATATTTGCTGTACGGTATTGCTTAGATATGTTTTAAACACTTTTCCAATAAAGCATCTTCTATATGTAAAAATACTTTATTTATGAGTATTATTCCTTAAATAGACATAGCATCTCCCTTACCTTGTGTATGTAGCTGTACTTGCCCGGCGCGGGCATAGCGGAAGTAGCGCCAGGGTTCATGACGCGTGGTTCTGTACATACTTCCAGAGCTATATGGACTTCGTCTAGATTCTGCAACAATAAAAATCTGTTATATTCGTAGTACGTAACTTCGTCGACTTTAACTTCGCTTAATACTTATAAGACGAGCCAGGGTGTTATTGTTACGGCATTAAGCTATATATATATATATATATATATATATATATATAATCAAAAAGTCCCAATTAATATTCTATTAATTCCAGAAGGACATTTAATCACCTCGCTGCCTAAAATGTAAGATTTAATTTTACATGTCTTCTAAAATTACACAGGTATTTCACGTTATTTTCCTTCAGTTTTTAAGCAAATGCTAATCATGTTAAAAATAAGATTTGTATATGAAAATCTCAGAAAGGATCTGGATTTGAAACCACTTCGCTGTTTTGTGATCCCCATGGGCTATCCCTGCCTCACTATAAACCATATCTATCATGAAGAAATATTAAAAATTTTGAAAATTGAAAATTGAATACTCTATGGTTAGAAAAACATATAGGTCACGTTTACCCTGGTCCGATGCCAATGCCTATGGGATAACTAAATAAAGATTAAAGTAAAAGCGGATTGTTAATATATTTTTTCCTTTATTATTAAAAACAGATTCGACCAAATAATTACGAGACGCACTTTTGTAGAATTTACAGTGTAACTGGGATATGATCATTTTAAAATATTCTTGTTCAAAACTGTACCTAATACCTATATCTTTAATTCAAATATTTCATACTAGCGACTCAGCCTCGCTTCGCTCGGGTTCGTCCCTAGCTTGATTCCCCATACAAAATGTCATCCCCATTTTCACCCAATTAAGGGATGATTTCTGGTATAAAAAGTATAATATGTCCTTCCCTGGGTCTCAAACTATCTTCTTTACCAAATTTCATCGAAATCGGTTTAGTAGATCCAGAGATTACCCCCTACAACGTCACAAACTCACAAACGTTATGTCTTTATAATATTAAAGTATAGATAATAGGAATAATGTTTCCTTGTTGTGTATAATTAGTAGTAGTAAACATCTAATTAATGGAAAACCCAATATAAAAATTGTTCATAAAATCTCAACATAGTGCTTTGTGCTTGTAATCTTGGTGAATCTAATTATAGTTTATCTATAGTATTAAAAAAGTACGAAACAACAAATACACAAATGAAGATTCAAGGACGTGTGTTCTACGAAACGTTGCTAATTCAATTCAACACATGTCTATAATATTGTTTATGTAGACTTTCACCTATCTTCCAAAATTGGGTTGTCTTTGTTCGATAATTTAATTTCCAGATTATGCCGATGACATGCGCACATATACCTACTAAGTATTCTATCTTTCAATAATGAGCCGAATGCGGCTTCGATGCTTGCTCGTGATAAGTATAACTATTATTGACTAGCGACTCACCCTCGCTTCGCTCGGTTTCGTCCCTAGGTACGTTTTTATTTTTTTGACCGGAACTCTAATTCTTTTTCTAAAATAAAAGTAGCCAATGTCACTCCCTATAACATCAGCTGAAAGTTCCGTCAAAATCAGTCCAGCCGTTTCAGAGATTATCCGGAACAGACAGACAGACACACAGACAAAAAGTTAAAAAATAATTTCATATGCATTAGTAAAACGCTGTTATTTTGACATTAAAAACAGACACTTCCATTTTATTGATCTGTATAGATGTATAGACTAGCCTCTCTCTGTTTCTGGTTAGCCTCAGTCCTCTAGAAATCTTTTAGCTAATATGAAAAACGAAAACCATTTCATTCCATTACTGTGTGAAGTTAAGACAAACCAATAAACTAACGAACAAAATTTCGCATTCAAACGATTATAACAAGCCATTAATAAAAGGTTTTTAAATTACAGCAATTACCTACATACTAATAATTGCAAACAATTAATAATGAAAATTTTCATGATACCTACGATTGATTATAATTCATTGAATCCTATAATAAATATTACCTACTTATAGATATATAATAAAATTTTAACTGAGTCGAATCTGTACATTAAATATTTTTTGGAAAATCTTATTAAAATAGACATTATTATCAATACAGAGGCCGAATCTATAATTTTTAGAATTTTTATCTGTCTGTCTGTCTGTGACCGCATAACGAAAAAACTCCTGGACAGATTTTGATGAAGTTTGGTAAGATGATACTTGGTTATTCGAGTCAACGTATAGTATAGGTACTTTTTACTTTGACGATTTTAATTAATTAAATTTTTAACTTTAACGGTTTTGCTTTTTCTTTAAAAGATTAAAAGTATTTCAAATTCTAATCTAATTTGTAGTTCCAGAGATTTCGTTCTGACTTATTCAAACAAAGAAACTAGTTTTATACATTAATATAAAATTAAAAAGGTATAAGCTATCTAATATCACCCTAGCGGAGTAATAATAACAGATAAATAAAATTGAATAGAATTTACCATCTTTATAATATAAAAAAAACTGTTTTCAATTTTTTTTATTGATAACACTAAATCTCATCAAGAGCTACTACAAAAAAAATTAGTTGATAAACAGTGGAGAAAACGGAACTATTTTGTCTTTACCTATTTATATATAGATTCTTGTAAGAAAAAATAAAATTCAATATTACAAATTTATACAAACAAATACTTTTATGAATCGAAATTGTCTCATGTTCGAAACGCTTAGTCACAGTTTCAATCGAAATATACTACTATGTATTGAACAGTGACATTTATAGCCAACAAGAAATAATATGATATAGTTACGTAGGTATCTATACTTATTATAAAAATAAGTCCCCCGGCCGCGTCTTTCTGTCCTCCTGTCTGTCCTCCTGTCTGTCTGTACGCGATAAACTCGAAAACTACTGAACGGATTTTTATACGGTTTTCAACAATAGAAAGAGTAATTCTTGAGGAAGGTTTAGGTATATAATTTATTATGCTTTTATGTAAATTAGCTGAAATACGGCGACAAATGTTGAAGAGGTCGCAAAAAATCTCGCCAAATGGGAACTTTCCACGCGAACGCCGCGTAAACTAGCAAAGATACAGTTAAGTAATGTACTAGAGAATTCAAAATCTATAAAAATGCTACAAAAAAGTCCGCGATAGCATATCTCTATCTCTTACGGTTGACTTACAATAACCACTTTTATGTTAACATTTTTAATTAAAAACATTACGTTATTTTCAAAGTTATTTTCTTTAGTTCGGTATTAATCCTTATCCAAATGAATATTTTAGTTAGCTTAGTCATTTAATGCAGATTAAAATTGCTCTTTACACTAAATCAATCAGATGAATAGTTTTTGAGATATCGTTGTTAGAAGTAATTAGTAGCGAAACATTTTTAATGCTTGGCGAGCATTGAGATGCCTACGGCGAGTCCATCCCCTCTGCCCCGCATCGCTCGACCGCCTGCTCAAGCTATATAAACCGGGCGATGTAGCGCGCGATCCTAGGATACTTTTTACCGCGGGAAAATATCTTATTTCTGAGGAAAAATACAAAAACTGCAATGTAAGAGTATACTAATATGTAACACCTAAGAATTTAGTTTTTGGTCATCTGAACGCGGGCGGAGCCGCGGGCAATGCTAGTATAACATAAAATTAATTTTGTATGCAATACATGAAAGCATTGTTTTAAAGATCATTCACACTATATATGCATACATAGGTACATAAATTTTCATTGTTACATCTAGTTTATATTTTCAATATTTTATAAACTTTTTTTAATAAGGTAAGTTATTTTGCAGTTATCTCCTACCTCCTCCAAATTCTCCTTAGATCATTCTCCTTTAATCTCTCCTCAAAATTTTCCTTAGATCATTAGATTTGCTTAGTAAGAAAACAAAAATGTATGCAATAATATTCCTATGTAATATTTCTAATCTTTCTAATCTAACTTTATCATGTCCATATAATGCTTTTATAATTAAAACAAACACTTCATATTCTCGATAACAAAAGTAAACTATTAATGAATCACACTATCAATAACATACTGAATAAAAAAAATCTTAAATCAATTTTAAAGTATACTTAGGTATGTGTTAATGAAGCGAGTCACCATTCTAATTTTGAAATATTGTTTATTATACAGTTTAATCTAATATATAAATATCTCGTGTCACAGTGTTTGTGGTTGCACTCCTCTGAAACGGCTGGACCAATTTTAATGTTTTTTTTTTGTATTTTTGATAGGTATGACCACCACCACCCATTTTTAATCCAAATCATTTAGTATTATATAAATACATAGGGATAAACCTGAGTGAAGCGAGGGTGAGTTGCTATATAACTTAAAAAGCAAAAGTTTTTTTTTATAAATTGAATGTGGGCGAAGCCACGGATTCTGCTAGTAAAATATAAATATATACTTTGTACTAGCGACACACCCTCGCTTTGCTCGGGTTCGTCCTTACCTCCATTTTTACATTTGGTATCGATTTGTCAGAGATGATATATTTTCCAAAAATAAAATGTATGCTATATGTTGACCCAGATAACCAGCTATTATCATACTGAATTTCATCAAAATCCTTCCAGTGGTTCTTCCGTGATGCAGTAACAGACAGACAGATAGACATAAATTCTAAAAAGTATTGATTCAGCCTCTATATCGATACTAATGTCTATTTCAATGAGATTTTCCAAAAAATATTTAATGTACAAATTCGTCTTAGCTACTATTTTATTATATGCATAGATAATATGCAAATAAAGTGCATATATAATAAAACTATATTATTTATCAAAAAATTATATCATTCTGTTTATATTTGAAATTAATAAAAATGTTGATATTCTTACCAACACTATAGGAACTGTCTTTAGTTTGGTCCACTGTATCCTAAATGATGCACGATTACATTTTGCAGAAGTTAGTCGCACCCATCCAGGCAGTTCCAATAAGTCAGTCAGAAGATCCTCATCCAGTGTCAAATCTTGCAGCTCACCAGATCCTCTGAGAGCTGAGAGAGAGATCTGCTCTGGTGATAAGTTCTTAGTGAACCTGTTCAATAAATATATTTAATTAAAAGTGAGTTAAGTAAGAGTAATCATCATCATATTAAATAATATTATCTTGTACACTTTTATTATTTTTTCAATATCAATGATTAATCAATAATAAAATACTTCTATTTCTGATTTATATTATTAGTTTCTATTTATAGAGTTCTTTATGTAAAATAATATTGAGCATCGTACAAGAAATATAGTCCTATATTTAATTTTTATAATATATTTCAGAGAGTATATCGTGGTAAAATAATATATATTCGAAGGGTACATGAAGGTTACATCTAAAATGTTCTAATTACATAGTAATATTCTTAACAAATAACATAAACACATTGTTATTTTATTAAATTAGTACTTGTCTTAGTAATCTTTGTAAGCACAATATACAACTATAATAAGAAAAAACGTACCTTGATAGATGTTTTAACAATTGGTTCTTTATTATAGTTACCATTTTGAAAAATTAATAGAAATCTAATTGTAAAACGTGAATTTTAACGAAAAATCATTATTTCACTTAATTAATTTGTTGGCCTATTCAAAGATATTTTCTTTCTTCTACGTTTATGAATGACTGGTGAATGACTTTATGAAATAAATGTCAATAGTGACAAAAATACCAGCTGGTCAAACGTAAAAATTACATCGTTTATAGTGGTAAAAGAATATATTGCTTAAATTGAAATAATTATTGTCTTTTATTAAACAAACTAAAGGGAACACATGGTCGATTTTATAAAGTCAATTTTGAAAGGAATTATTTTTATCATGAGTAATATTTTTTAAGATCTTCCGTTCATTTTAATATGTATAAACGTGAAATGAAACCAGAGTAGAAACTCTGTGAATGACATTTAGATAGGTACAGATCAGGTACTAGTAATGAATGAATACAATAATGAATTATATTTAAGTGTTTCTATAAATAAAGCTTTTTCCATATTTTTGTGGAAAATAAAAATAGAATCAGAAATAAAATATCTTTATTATTTTCGTTACAATATAAATTAATAAAATAAAAATTAATAAAATATGTTGAAGTTAAAGTTGCGATTTTTCTTTTCTATAGCTCAAGTTATTTGAATTTATATAACTTACTAGCGACTCACCCTCGCTGCGCTCGGGTTCGTCCCTAAACATTTAGTATAGATTTCTCAGAAATGTAATATTTTCCCGCAGCAAAACGGACCCTATACGTTGACCCGGATAACCAGCTATCATAATACCAAATTTCATTAAAATCTATCCAGTGGTTTTCCCGTGGTGCGGTAACAGACGGACAGACAGACAAAAATTCTAAAAACTATAAATTCGGCCTCTGGGTCGATAATAATCTCTATTTTAATAAGATTTTCAAAAAAATATTTAATGTACATATTCGGCTTCCTTAGAATTTTATTATATGTATAGATTAATATAAATAAAAATAATAAATATGGCAATATTAAAGTAAGCCAAAAGAGTGGCGCGATATTTGTTTGCTTGTTGATATGATAATTATTGATTTTTTATATTTATTGTACATTTGCTAATATTATAAATGATGAAATGATTTAAACATTTTACCAAAAAGGTATTTTCATGAGGCTATATCAAATCTGGCTGTACATAACAGAGGTGTAGTAGTTGTAAGATTCTAAAAACAAAATAATTTTGACAAGACAACTTTGTGTTTCTATATTTTTAAGAGTTTTCTTTGTATCAATAGTTTCGTAATAATTGCGCTTAATCAATTATACTTGCTATAGGCAGTAGTGTAAAACAAGCCTGTTTATTAGGCCCTATATTTGAATTTTTATATTGATATAGGAGTTTTAAATTCCTCCGGTGTGTACAACTTTTTTGTTATGTTGATAAATAAATAACCAGTAGTATAATTTCTATTTATAACTCTTATTTATAGTTTATAAAATAGTGAAAATGGATTTTAACAGGTAGTTTCGCTTAATAAAATCTAATAATCCACATTAGGTAGCACTTAAAAATTATTATATGTACCGAAGCACTTTAATTTAATCAATCGTTTTTATATTATAGCTGCTGCCAATTTAGACTTAGCTGCACGCTTACACAATGTCACTCACTGAGAACCATGTAGACAAAATGGGATATATAGGCACAGAATACTCTTCCGGTGACTCTAATAAAATGATATGTAAACAGTTTTACCAGGAGGAGAATAATAATGAGATAAATGAACTATCAAAAGACTTTTCTGAAATGGGTTGTATAGTAGATGCAGTGAAGAAACCACCAAATATCTGTATCGAAACATGTGTATATGAAGATTCTGAGTCTGATAATGATAATAGTATTGCAAATAATGATGATGATAATGATAATGAAGATGTTCATTATTCTGATGAATTTGAGGAAGAAGATATAAGTGAGATAGAGTTAGAAAATAATAAGAATAGAGTACCTTTAAGTAATGGTACTAGTAAAATACAGGTCGCAGCTCCAGCGAAACTGATAAAGAGTCAATCATCAATGTCTAGTCAAAAGCCGCCATCAGTGTCTGGTAGATCTACAGACTATGGGTAAGATTTTGTATGAATTTTAGGGGTGTATATGTTATAAATAGTAATATTGTATATATGTATACAGTATAGAGATACAGTTAGTACAGTGAAATTAGAAATACTAATTTTTATTCTACTTCAAAAGTAGAAGATTTTAAATTTTCTACTTCTGCCTTACAATTTGAACTTTGGTAGAGAAAGAAAATAGTCATAATGGTAATTGCTCTATTTCTATGAGTTGTAGGATAATATTAGGTAGTTTCCTTAATAAACAGAACTCTGACTGGTAGTCCCAGGGACAGGTATTTCTTATATGGTACTTTAAAGATAAATTTTTAGAACTAGCCAACAAGAATGGCGATTTTCTTATATTATAATAACTAAGCCTTATAATTAATTTATTAACAAAAATCATATGTAAAATTACAGGTCAGTCTCAGTGCCTCCAACACGACGAATCAACATGTCTTTCACGAACGATAGATTACGCGAAATAGAAAGGCATAATCATATACTTTTAAATAAAATTCTAAGTGTGAGAAACAAGAAGAAGTCCACAATCCCGACAAAGGAACAAACAACAAAACGACCACTGCCTCCTGCGGCTGTACACAGAAAGATGCAACAGAGAAAAATTGAACATGACAATATGGTAAATATAATATTGACAGTTAATTTTTTTTTAAACTAACCTAGTCCCAAATTAGTTTAAAAGCTGGTTTATTTAGGACTTTCAACCCGTTAAGTATTTTTAAAATTAATAGGCGACCATTAATTAAAAAAAGAATAAACGAAAATATCGCGTAACACGCAATAAAACAGAACCGAATTGAATATTCAATCCCCTTTATAGTCAGTTTAAATATGGTTCAAAAGATAGCTTCGAAGGTAGTATAGACGTGAACGGACGGACAAATGGCGAAGCCGAGGCGTTTTCGTAATCTTATCTTCTTGGGTGGTCTAGTGGCTAGCATACGGCTGCAGATCTGAACGTCCTGGTATCATGTCCCTGTTCGGGCCAGATATTACAGCCCGGCGTGTATTTTAAAATTTTTGGTTCTGTTATGTTGTCATCCCACCGTACTTGTATTTGTGCAATGTAATTTCTCTTGCGCAGTTGGCGAAGTAAGATTGGCCGCCGGACGGAAATAGGTCAGAAATACATAAATATTATTTAAAAGTAAATTCCCGACCCAGTTGTTTGTAGACTAAATTATTATAAAACTAGAACCTCCACATAGTAAATAGACCTAATTTTGAATACAAATATTATTAATATTCGATTATCTTCACGGAAAAGTCCCATCGAAATTGATACATGAAAAATTATAAAATAATATGATTTAATACATTCTTAGATCGATACTTTGTTTGCTTTACGCGAATATTTGTTGTCTCTCCCGTGACAATGATTGCTGTAAAGCAATTGAAACGTCGGGAATTTAAAATCAAAATGAATCCGCGAAAAAATCCGAAAAGATAGTATTATTAAAATAATGTAATTATTCAAATTTCCAAAATAAATCTTACAAATAGGAGCTACAGTGTCATACCTATTTATTTATTTATTACATAGGTTGCTAACAGAGCATACATTCTTAAAATTGTATATGATATAAATGAAAGATCTAGGACCAAATGATGCCCTAATTTAAGCAACGCTGCATTCTAATGAGATAACAATATAATAATTAAATAAAAATAGTTAACATTAGTGAGCAAAAATAAATTTTAAAAAGTAGTTTTTAAATTTATTTATAGTAGTAGTGCTAGAAATCTAAACATAATTTAGCACACTTTTACTTTTATAATATGAAGGTTAATTAGGTTTAAGTAATTAAATAAGGAAAACTACAAACGGCGTAATAAGTAATACATATATTGATTTCTATTTTCTCACATTTGTTCTGATTGACCAATTTTGTCAGCTTCAAAATTTAAATTTAACAATAACTCTTGAGATAGTTATTGCTATATTCTTAGATCAGGGGGATGAAAATATTATGTTATAATATAATAATAATAATCTATTCTAGACTACTATTTTAAAGAGGAAAGATTTGTATATTTGTATGTTTGTAACGAATAAACTCAAAAACCACTCGACCGATTTAGATGAAATTTGGTAAAAATATAGTTTGAGACCCTGGGAAAGACAGGTATTTTTTCCGGAAATCATCCCCTAAGGGGGTGAAAATGGGGATGAAAGTTTGTATGGGGAATCAACCTAGTCTATATCTATAAACAGAACAAAATAAAAGAAACAAGCGAATCTCATATCTGTTAAGAAAAATATTACGACGGTGTTAGTTTCTCCGACCATTATGTTCAACTTACGTTTATGTTCTGTTTATTTATACAAATATTAGCATTGCCCGCGGCTCCACCCGCGTTGAGATGACCAAAAACCAAATTCTTAGGTTTTACATATTAGTATACTCTTACAATGCAGTTTTCGTATTTTTAACCAGCTATCACCGTACCAAATTCATCAAAATTCCTCCAGTGGTTTTTCTGTGATGCGGTAACAGACAGACAGACAAAAATTCTAAAAGCTATAGATCACCTGGAACAAATCTACTCTACCTATAGGCTAGATAATACAGTTCAAATTCCTCAACTTTTCTATAATTTTAACAGATCCTGTTGAAATAAGTACAAAATATTAAGCATTATTAATTTGATTAGATCCTGTTGAAGAAAATCCAGCGCGCGAAATCGTCCGCGTGCAGCATCCGCCGTTGATACTCACCCCGCGTCCGAGCGCGGGCGCGATGTTTACTTAAAATATACTTATTTTATATACATGTTTTACTTATGTGTTTTATTTATAACTATACCTTCTTTTTAGTTCCCTAGTAAATTCTAATTTGACGTATTTAAAAGCTAACTGTGGATACCAATAATAATTAATCTATGTATGGTTGTCTTATTAGAGACAAAGTTGATAGCTATTAGTCTAAGATCCCGAACTATGTGGTGGATCCCTCAATCTTTTTCCAGGCGAAATATATTTTTTAAACCAAAAAACATTAACAAACGCGATCGGGGGGATTGTCACCAAAAACTTGCTCCAGGCTCTTTTTAATTAAAAAATCTGTAGTCTGGAGATGTTTTGGTATAAAGACCCTATATCATTAAATTTGTAATAAAATTATCTACATTTTGATACTTGGTCGGTTCCGGAAAATACGATCCGATACGAGCAATTAATTACTTCAAATTACCTGTTTAAACCTGGTTGTCAGGTAATGTGGATTCGTAAAAAGCCGCCAACCGTATGATGGCATTTTCTACAAGTCTTTTATTTTCGATTAATACTAAGTTTGTCACAGGAAAAGAGTTCTTGTACTTAAAAATAAACTTTTTTAATTAAAAATAGCCTAGAGCAAATTTTTGGTGACAACCCCCCTGGGTCGTATTTGTTAATATGTTTATGGTTTAAAAAAAATCGTCTGGAAAAAGAGTGAGGGGTAGATCGGGTTTTCCTATTATATTAGGTAGTCAAAATATTAAAGATGAATATGGTAGATGTTATTGAGATCGCCATTACGGTGGATCCCAATAACCTATCTGTCGGGTTTTTTACTTGAGATGGGCATTTGACATACAAATGATTATATTAGTATAGAGATTAGCAATAGATAGGTCATTGAGGTTTTACCGTAAGTATATGTGGATTATGATATCAATCAGCTTTAAATGCGAAAAATATTTTGATGAACTCGAACTTATTCGTTACTAGCAGAACACGCGGCTTCGCTCGCGCTAGAACTACAAAAATATAGCCTATGTCACTCCAGCCCTCCCGCTATCTCTACACAAAAAATCACGCCAATCCAAGGACAAACAAACACACATTTATAATATTATTATATAATATATTTGTTATATTTTTCGCGCATGAGACTAATATACAGATTCAAATTTATGTCACTACTACGTGTGGACATGATTATCTTTATAAAAAAATGGGACGAATGCGAGCTTCACTCATACACCAAGAGGTTCCGTAGCATGTAACATTAAAATAAGTATAAAATCGCAAAATATTTTTTGTGATACATATCTACAAAACGGTTTTTGGAATTTTCCTTTTACTTGAGCTCGTCATGATTCTCGGAAGTACCATATAGGTTTTGATTTTCTTGCGAGTGTCAAAACGTGCGGCATAAAATGGCTGTAACTTTTGATTACGTTGAATTAGAATTTTGAATAAAAATTCATTGTTCCAAGAGATTGCAAACCTGAGTATTTGAAATTAATTTCAACTTTGGAGATACCTCCACTGTTTCTGAGAAAAGGGGTCTTGACAGACAGACAGACTTTACGAATTCCTTTTTTTCCTTTTGAAGAATCGTAAAAATTACAAGTTTTATTTTGTATTTCTATTGTTAAGTTAAAGTTAAATTCACACAATATTGTAAAGGTGTTTGTGTGTTATTGTTTATATTTATAGTAACGCATATTTGTATAGGTACGCAAACTGTGTATTAAACGGAACGTAGTCTAAATGAGAGTTGCTATAATAATAATACCTAATAAGATATTAGAGGGATTTTACATATCAATTAATCTTTACGATAAATAATCACGTATAATAATTGTAGATATTTTAAACGCAGTATGTACTATCTAGATGTATTATATATTTTTATTATTGCCTAGTTTATGAATCACGTATCAGATAGTAAAATATTTACCTGCAAATGAGATCATCTGTCTTTGTAAATAGTACAGTGCTATACAGATATGATGGGATATTGAATAACAAATACCTAGTTGGTGTATAAAAAATATTTGTTCACAATAAATAGCCACAATACTTCTTTTTCGCTATTTAAATATAACTTGTTTTAAAAAATAAATATGATGACAAACATGTTATGCTTTAACTTTTTCGCTGTACCTACAGATGATCCGTGATCTTTTTAATTTTTATTTTTTATTTATTAGTTTGTGGTGGTCGAAAATAAATTTAATTTAAGAATCTAGACATTTCTTATTTTAAATTTACCACTACTTAGTAAGTAATTATTTGTATATAAAGAAATAAATAATTAGTAAAAAAATAAATAAATAAAAAAACAGTTTGGTACCTTTTTCTCCTCTATTAGTCAACTAATTTTCTGTTTAGTAGTTATATATGAGCTTAAGTGTTATCCATAAAAAAATGTATATTCATACGTTTTCCTCAAATTTTTAATAATGATTTAAGTCGAATTTCGATCACCGGACGAACACATGTTCTAAGAAATAAGCACCATTAAAGATTTCTTAAGGTGATAAATGCGCCATCTCGCGTGTAAAATATTGTGTGGTCATCCACATTTTCATAATGCGTTTATGAGTAATACTGTTAACGCTGACTTTCGTATAGCTATATATAGTTTTCCCATGTCATGTTAAGTACCTACCATTTTTAATTTTCATGTGAAAATAAAAAGTTTCTCGCTATTGGAATTTCTTGAATTAATAGCATTTTCCTATGGAAAGTATAAGAATACTTTAGATAGTAAGTATAGTCTTGTCCATAATTTTACTATTTTTTTGTAGTCCAATTCATAAAAAATCTATGAAGTGTCATAACCAGTATTACGAGTCTATCTCAGAAGTAGGTCAGGTAGGCCAAATAAAATTCAGTGTAACAGCACACAGTTTTTATTATTGTATACAGAGTCAAAGTAACGCCTCTAACGAAATTACAAAAAGGAATGACGCATCACGCATTATTAAAGTCATGAAACAATTTATATCGCTGCTCCCGCCCTTTTTCCACTCAAGATGACAACGTCAGAAAACTTAAAGAAGTATTTTATATCAGAATGACAACATAAAGAATTAAATAATGAATCTACAATAATACATATAAGTCCTATTTTATATAATTAATAATTTATATTATTTTTAGTATAACACCAGAGTGTAATGCACTCATGCATGTTACCAGCCTTTTTAACGTAACCTGACCTCTTTAGTATTAGAGGAGCCCATCACGCTGGTCAAATGTGGGTTGACGGACTTCAAATTAATATGGATAATATTGTAATTCATTTCCTAATACGGTCACAGCGAATCGAACAATATAAATCTATGTTTGCCACAATACGATCTAATTGTTCTAAATATAGCCGTCTGAAGTAGGGCAAGCTACGATAGTGGCTGATAAGAGTTAGCCAAACTAATTAACCTGGTGCCTAGGTTCCTTACCTGCTTTATAGTTCAAACATAATAACTGCACTGTTGTGATAAGATATGCGAGTTAGGTAGGTATATTGTAACCAATCAAAGGAAAAGTAATATATTTTGTCATTGGACCACGAGTATATTTATGTGTATTTAATAACGATACTTACACGAATTATACACTAAATAATGGCTATGGCGTGCAATATTGATATGCTGCACGTGTCTGTTGTTGCATTACGTATATATCTACAAACTACATTGATTTTTTTCTAGATGTTGATTATTATATAACTTTAGGATTCTAGCTAAAAAAGAGCCCCATATAAATATATTTTAAACACAGATCACATAATACTATAGGTAGTACTAGGTTGTATTCAGCCCTTTTTAACGTCCCACTGCTGGGCACGGGCCTCCCTTCAATACGAGGGGGATCAGGTCATAGTCCACCACGCTGGCCAAGTGCGGGTTGGCGGAATTGACATATGTTTCAAAAACTTGCTACATAGGTTCTCTCAGACATGCAGGCTTCCTCACGATGTTTTCACAGAAATCTTAATAATTTACCTTATTATTAAGATTTCTGTGGTTTCAACATACGATAAGTGATAATTATGTTGAAAATGATTTGCTCATGAAAATATCATAGGTGCGAGACCCGAGATTTGAACCCGCTTTACTCGGTTTCCCAAGCAAGCGTGTTACCATTGAAATATCACTGCTCTCTACTATATTGATTTTTCTTTGAAAAGGGGCCCACTCTCATTTGAGGTCTAGATGTGCATAAAGGTAGGTACCAAATATTATACTATGGTGCTTAAAGCATACAGTAGATTTTTACTAATCTAACACATCATATAATGAAAAGTCTATTGTTTTTCATTCCTCCGCCCGCGAACACGCCGGCGTTACAGTTAACAACAGATTTTTTAGAAATATAATTAATTTCTTAGAAATTTCATTAATTTCTTAGAAATTTCATTATTTTTTTAGAAATTTCATTAGTTTCTTAGAAATTTAATTAATTTCTTAGAAATTTACCTGAAGATGTTAATGATCAAAATCACGTAGAGTTGCTTTGTAATCGATTCTACCATAAATAAGGTTTAGTGAAACAGAGTAATGTTAAGGTAATTTAAGCCAATGACGTCCGCAACTCATCTTTAGGGTTAATTTAGGGTATCGCGTGACCCCCTCCAACGTGCGTTCACCTTGTCGTGGTGGGGGGGCTCAGTAGTGCCCGGCAATCCAACCGGGCGCGGTGGGAGGTGGCCCTCTTTGGGGGGCGGTGTATCATGCGGGTTGCTCCTGGTACTTCTCTGATAGCAGAGTGGACCTTGGAGCAACCCCATGGTTGTGGTGGTCTGCTTCGGCAGACCTGCCGTCGGGGCGTCGTAGTTGAATGCGTAAGCGATCCTGCGACGCCCCATTAAGACGGGGGAAGGTTTTGTTGGGTTTTAGTGGGTAGTACTGGCTGTATTGCGCCGGTGAGTCCGTCCCACACGTCGTGCGTAAAAGCATTTCCCAACGTTAAAAAAAAAAAAAAAAGGGTA